ATATTACTTTACCCCTCGTTGTGTTGTTAATAAGAAATGTTTATAAGATATTAACAAGAACGAAACGCTAATTAGACCTTGTGTGAGGCACAATTCCATCAAAACCTCTGAAGCAGATGCCAGGTATTTTAGTGCCCTGCACACCTTCCTACAGAGAAATGAAACTGGCTAAGGTTATATTCAAATCATATCTGATTTTTCAATTCACATATTTTTAAGTAGATTTTGTTTCTTCTACAAAATCGGTTATTTGTTTTACTATCAGCATTGTTGCCAAAGGAAAAAAATAACAAATAATAGCAAAATTCTATAGACCTCTAAAAAAAATTGTACATTATAATTTTGTAATTATAGTTTGTCTACATACGCATACATTTATTTTTTTCATTATTCCTTCATCACTTTCCAGAAAATATATCTCCATTCTAAAGAGGTAAGTACACAAATATGTTCATTCAGTGGACAAAAGGATACGTACATAAGTCATAAAACAAGAAATGAGAATTTTTTGTAAATCTGTTAATATCCCTCAAAATAAGTCCGAATAAACGTTGATTTTTTACAGGAAAGGGAGTATATCATTGAACCAAGCAATGAAAATGATAAAATATTATGTAAAACAATTAAAATAATATTAATCAGAGAATTTTTAGTGGTAAATTTTCAAATTATTACTGCAAAATGGTTTACAACTATTATTTTGCTGTAAATATTCGTCAATTTTATTATAATTATTAGTATTTTCAATCTTTAAGATAATCTATTTTATCTTAGTAAAAGGATAAAATAGAATAAAATAAAGACAACTCCAATCAACATAATCTTTTCGACTTCTTTTTTACTAACTATCATTATATATGCTCTTACTGTTGCAGGTCTACATGACTATTTGCACGCAGAAAAAAAAGATGAACTATTCATTGTAAACAAAAAATATATCAGGTGATGATATAGAATTATTCATTTTTAGATGAAATAGCTATATTCATGAGATAATTTTTCCTATTTTGACTAAGTAAAGAATACAAAAGATACTCAAAAAAATGACACTATAATTTTACATCTTATTCTTAATGATAATGACAGCGAAATATTGTTTGTCTCAAGTCGTGACTTGGATATTTTAATAAGGCAACAGCAACAATTAGGGGGGGGGGAGGGGGGAGGGGAGAATGCTTTGGCTACATATATTAAAACTCCAAATAATAACTGATCACGTAATAATGACAAATAATGTAACATAGGTTAAAAATATATCAAAAACAAGAACTTATATTAAATGTTAATATAACTTTCAATATTGAAGATGAATTCTAACTCGTGAGACCCATTGCCGTAGAAGCTAATCGCTGTGTTTCGTACAAACTCATTTAATCGTTCGGCATCCTCAAAGTGTTTCTTCTTTTTCAGAATCTTCAACTTTATGACAGCAATAATTACTTGTGTGAGAAAAGCCTCTTCAATAGTCAAGAGACGTAATGTAGTGTCATCCTTAAAGTTGAGAAGTGTGTTTTCGTAGTTTTGAAGACTAATTTTTTCAACCTCCTCAATGGTGTTCTCAGTTATGAAGTCTATATTAAGGTCCGCTTCCTCTGTAGAAGATGGGACATCCTGGTTATCCTGATCGTTCGACTTTCCCTTCGCTCCGTGATCTTCGTCTGAGTTCACTTTAACGCTGATTCCTTGAAAAAAGTCCGATGGGGGATTAGGCTCCTTATTGATGATAATGCTTGTCATATCAGCTCTCAGAGAGCCAAAATTTTTCACTGACTTCTTAAAGATGGTCTCAAGCTTGACAATGTAGTATGGTAAATCCTTCCGCAAGAAATGTAAGTTATGACCAGGCACGATGGACACAGACTTTGTGAAGAACCACTCCAGGTAATAATAAGTATCGCGCTTCCCCGCAGACTTTATGTGAACAAGGTTATTCCTTGATATTTGGGTTTTCACCGAAAGGCGAATCGGTGGATCCTCACGAACGAACGGCGAGATCATGTTCTCGAGGTTAATACGTCTTCCATGGTAGAAAAAAGGTTGAGTTACGGTGCTCGGGCCGAAAATACTCGGCCTAATGTCCCGGTTGCTTTTTTTGCTGCCGTGTGTGTTCGTATCGGTGACCTGATATTGAAAGTTATTCTTTGAAGTGGGGTTCTCCGACAAATATAATGTGAAGTTGGTCTTGGGCAAACGGGAATTCAAATCCTTCGCCGCACTGGTATATTCGAGCAGATTACACGCCTCGTGGAGGTTGAACATCGAGGCCGACGAGAGGTCGAGGATATTAGCATGGGCCCTTGCCTTATGCTTTACTTGAGATTTACTCTCCATGTTCTGGGTGTACTGAAGAAGGAGTACGCAATAATTGATACATGCACAATTCCAGTAATGTTGAAGGGTGGATTGAAATAGCCAAATGGTGGTCACAATCATACACAGTGGTACGCATTCTTCACCATTACTTTCGCTATTGGCCTTTTTGAAGGGATTCACGGTGTTCGCAACCATCTCAGGTGACATTATTGTCTTACCGGCCTCCCTCGCCCAGATCCTCAGAAGATGATTCAGATCGCGAGTTCCTCTGCAGATGGAGACACAGTAAGCAAGTGCGATGCCGCCATTGATTTTATTAGGAGTCAGAGACAGGTAAGTATGCATAATATCCAGAGAAAGACGGATATAATCCAAGATATTATCCGCTTGCTCATCCAAAATCAGCTCTAGCACTGTATCTTCATCGCAGGTCGTCTTGGATGTTGTAGAGTCACCTTCAGTAGAATGCTTTATAATAGTGTCGGGCATATTGATGCCTTTGTTCAACTTTACCCAGAAATCTCGCCCAGGATGACTTCCTAACGCATTCTCGAAAAATATTTCTGAGGAAGAGTAACGACCTTCATGAGCGGCCTTTACGCCTTCATAGAAGAAGAAGGGATGACCAAGCTTTTCCTTCTTGAGTTTTCCAGCTTTATTCCCCATTTAAAGGTTAAAAAACTTAAATTTAGCAATATTTATTTCTTTTCCTTACAAACTAGATGGAAAATCTTTTATTTGCTTCAATAGATAATCTGCGTAGATAAAAATGGCACAAACGTATACAGATTCAGAAAGAATTGCTCATAATTATAGATTAAACAAAATGTAGAACAAATTGGGCATATATATATATATATATATACCCTCCAATGACAAAAATGCTTAAAAGAGACTGCCTGTATTACCTATTTTCCAAAAACATATAGCCCAAACATACAAACATACTCGAAAAAAGAAGTTCATTAAGAGGGTAGTTGGGAGCAAATGTACTTTGCAGGGATCATTTAGAGTGTATCAAGGAAAATTTATCTTTGATTTTTCGTTTCACGAGACGGTGCAACTCATTTGAAAAATAATCGACTCACATAGAAACAAGTAAATGTATAAAGAATAATTCATTTGGGGCCACTCATACTAAGTCTAAACATATAATTTTAGATACATAAATAACATGATAATGCATAATTTTTATCTTATCAATTTTTCTACTTTGAATATTCATTATCAAAAATATTTTTTGTATGGATAAATTTAGCACCCACAATGTAGAAAATAACGTAAGTTTTTCTTTTGAAATGATCCCCTACTTGAAGGGTAATGAATAAACCAAAATGGAAAAACGCTTACAACCTTAGTAATAATTTAAAAAAATGCAATATCCTGTATAATTATATAAATAAAGAAACATAGGTTGGATCTGTTCAAAATATTTTCTGATTACATTATAACTCCCGCAAGTCCTCATAAACTAACTCTAAAATATGCTTCACTTATGGTTTATATCCTTTTCGGAGCCCTCATTAATGTATATAAAGAAGAAAAAGGCAACAAAACAAGCATAGCAAAAGGAAATAATAAATTTAAAAATAAAGATGAATCAATATCATCCGAAGAGAAAGACATATCACCCATAAAAAGGAAAATTTGATGCTAAAGCAAGTCAATAATTAAAGTCTATTGAAGTATTTTATCTATCAGGAGCTCGAATCCTTTGATACTTTCTTCTTATACATATTCAAAGATTCAGTTACTACATCACAGCACAGTCGCAGTTAAATTTATGTTTTTTGTGCTTGCCTACTGCTCTTTTTTTCTTTGTACCGTATGCTGTTCCCTCAGCGTTCTTCACATTATCCTCAGATAGTATATTCTTATTCTTTGTGGGTTTTTTAAAACCTGAGGCTTGCTCAATTTCATCAAAGCGCTTCCGAATGGTCTCCCTGAATTTTGCACCGTCATCATCATCTTCCTCAGATCCCCCACAGTTCACTTCCTCGAGTGTAGATTGAAGGATCCTCCTTTTGTTCATTCCATAACCCTCTCTAGTGTGATCAGGGCTTGTGTAGTCTTTATCGCTACCAGTTCTAGGTGGCTCAGGCTTTAAATCACCATGGTGTGGAGATAAGGTACCAGGCAGACATCCCAGCACACCATGTGCTTCTGACGCTCCGTCGACCACAGCGTCCCTGGGGAAAAAAGGAGAGGTTATTGTCGCCTCTAAATCGGCATCATGTGTCAAAGAATCGTAACGAGGTGGAGTTCGCACCTTTTCAGCATCGCGCTGGAGCGTTGTGGGATGCGAGACCGCAATGATTTCGGAATCGCCTCCCTCCCGGGGAGAAAAATCGGCTACGTCCCAACCAGCACTGTCCGCCGCCTCGACCAACCTTGGCTCCTCCTCGCCGAGGTCAAAAGAGCGCAAGCCCTTTGACTGCCACGATCCAGCCGGGGCAGCCGTCTCCAGCCCGAGGCCGGCATCGCGCAGGAGGACTTCGCAGATCCCGCCGAGCAGTGCCGAGACGCCGGTCCGCCGGGTCGCGCTCACCTCGGCGTAGTTAGCCCGTGGGAAATACCGCGCGAGGAGGTCCTGCACCTCGCGCAGGCTTGCAGCAGCCCCCCCTTTCTCTAGTTCCCTGTTACTCTCCTCTGGTCCCCCGTTCCCCTTGAGCCGGTCCACCTTATTTGCCACGACGAAGAGGCCTCTCTGCGCGAGGGCCGGGGCGTGGGCGAGGGCCCGCGTGAGGGGGCCTTCACAGAGCCGTTGAAGGCCCACGAGGTCGCCGCAGTCGAAAACGCCGAGGACGAGGGAGGCCCCACGGAAGAGGGTCGCGTCCAGGCCGCCGTAACGCTCCAGGCCGGCGCTGTCCCAAATCTGAAGCCGCAGGTTCGTTCGCGGCAGGACGTGGGCCACGACGCGGGAGGAGAAATCCGCGCCGATCGTCGGGCGGACGGACGGGATCGCCTCCGCCTCCGCCGCCGCCTCCATTTCCTTCTCATCGGGGGTCGGCAGCCGCGCCGTGAGCAGGCGCTGGACAAGCGTCGTCTTCCCGACGTTGTGATCGCCAACGACGACGACTTTGAGGATGTACTCCTTTTCCATGGTGGATCGCCGCGACGCGGTGTGGGATGGATCGGTTAGGGTGGATAAGACGTCCTCGGTGGTCTCGCTACCATCGTAGGTGAATGATTGAGGATTTAGAATCATCGCAAAGATTCATAGACAGAGCTATCGGTGCGTATGTGCACGTGTAATAAGACCTACTAGAATAGCTTGTAAGCTCAAAAGTTTGATGCTCGCTGTTAAAATAGGTCTTCGGTAGAAGTAACCAATCAGAAAAATATTAATTCCTCTAGCCGCTCTTATGTAAAAGAGTGAAAAGCGAAAGGAAAAAGAAATATAGAAAGCAAAAGTCACTCACAAACAAATTGAAAAAAAGGCTATATCAGACTTTTCAGATTTATATCGTAATTGAAAAAAAATTTCATCTTCGGTAACTTTAGATTCCACAAATTCTTTTTTATTACATAAGATTTACATAAATAGTGATGAATTATTAAAAATAGATCTGGTGTAATATCAAAAAAGTAATAAAAAAGAATAAATCAGAAACTACTCTATATTGTGTCGAACAATGAGGTACTTTACCTTATTTTACTCACTACAAAGCATTTCAAAAAAATATATATATCAACAAGCCAGGTATCACCATCCCATCTCATATTCAAGTGTAATCTGACTCCTTGGCGGCCCGCCTGTATGCACCACGAGTACTTCGCGCTAAAACTCCTCATACGACGCCCCTTGAATTAATTTGTCCGACGATACGGATAGCGACTAATACGCGCAGCGTAGACCTCGTTCTGAGCGTGCGCGGACTCAAACTCCTCTACATTGTACACCGGCTTAACTTTCTCGAGGCGTTCGAGTAGCTTGAAGTTCTCATGAGCAATGCGACGCTGGTTGACCTCCCGAACGTGCTGAGAGTTAACAACCTTGTTGTGATCTCGCCATGGCGGGCTGTTGTCAATGCTGCTGTGGGTTTGCATGATATGCATCATCCGCTCAACGAGCTTGAAATTGTCGTGGTTAATCTTGCGATTGCGCTCGGACACGTCAGGGCGTACCGGCCCCTCGCCGATAGGTCGCCTGAAGGCAAAACTATTTGGGGTCGTGTTGTTGATGCTTGCCTTTTGGCTCAAAACGCGCTGGCAATGCCGCCAATACTCTCGCTCATGAGCACGTTCGACGAGGGTTGGATTGACACTTCGCTCGGACTCCATCGTTGTGAAGTTAGTGAACTGAGTGGAAAAGGTGTGTAGAGCAAGAAAGAAAAAAAATAATGATGGTTAGATCTTCTTCCCTTTAACTATTTTTGAAAATGATGGGTTCGAAAAGTGTTGCATGAATTTCGAAGGAAATACACAAAAAGAAAATGGAGAAACCACCGGGCGGTGGTCAGAAAGACATCCTTCTGTAGATTTAAAATTCGATTTCAGTGATTTTTTAGCAAGTGTTTAGCCCTAAATTGAAAAAAAAAAAAAAAGTTATCACAGCACATTTAATTTTCATACTTTCTAATTTCATTTCCTTTATTTACCTACACAGTACAGTCTTTCAAGATTTACAACAGTTACTGAGTGTGTTCTTACTCATCCTGTAAAACAGAAGAGTTTGATTAAAAAACTGGTTAATATAAAAAGATGCAATAAAAAAGAAGTCAGTACAAGTAACTCTGCTTGAATGGTTAACCAAATCTTGCACTGAAGAGTGTTTGTTGCTGAAAAGAATACGAATACACAATAAATTTTATTCCGCTTGTTTTTATTTTAAACCATTAAATAAATATAACCATAGTTATATAAATAAGATATTTATAAATATATACGTTTTCAGATATTCAAAAAAAAAGAACCATTAACTCTTAAGAGCTACAAAACCGACGAGCAAAGGGAAGAATGGCGACTTTAAACTCTTTCATTTTCCATCTGCTGAGGTTGGTAGTTCCCATTAGAGGATTCATGCCCCTTCCTGGGCAAGTCCATCATGCCGGGCAAGTGAAGTTCATCCGGGCGGCGGTACGCAACATAAAGAGCAATGATGATACCGACTACCGTGATGCCGAGGCAGACCCATACTAATGGGAACTCATCCTTTTTGGCAGAAACCTGTCCGACGAAGGCGCTGAGTGCAAGGATGGCAAGCAGGTTGAAGGACATATCCGGTGATCTTTCCTTTGTGTAGGGTGTTGAAAGTAGTAAGATAACTGCTTTTATAACGGTTTAAGTAAATAACTAAAGAATTGGTATTTAAAGAAAAAAATGCTTCTCTGAATGCTTATGTCGTATTATCTATGGAGAAAGTTGAAAAATAAAATATCAGAACACTTGTTACCACAAGATCATTTAGACAATGAAAATTTCATAAACAAGAAAATACCCATGTCTAGTACTTGCTAAAGTAATGGATATATATTGCTAATGCTCTAAACGATCTAGCGTGAACTTTTGTCTTCAGATCACAAATATCAAATACTCAATTTTTTACTGGTATGAGGAGATACGGCTGTAGAATGCCTCACCCTCACTTTACAAGAGGAAGGACGACTCTGTGGAAGGAGACCCCCTCTTCCTTTTCCTGTGGTCGCATCATAGACGTGATGGAGGCATGCAAGGTGGCAACAGGGACTCCAACAAGCAGAAGAACACTCCTGGTGACTAAAAAGATCTCTCAATGCCCTGAAAAAGCTCAGCACCCCCTGAGGACAATTGTAACAGGGAATCCTGCAATAAGCACGGATGTAGAGGCGCACTCCGGATCGTGGCCTGTAAGAAAGGAGTCATTGCCCTACTGGTGAGCTGCTTTGTGTCACAGCGGTTGTGTGCAACTATCTCCCATCCACAGATGGGGCAGTGACACCTCGGATTTGGCACAACACCTGCTCAAACCAAAACTCCTCATAGGAATAATCGCTCACAATAAAAGAACATCCTAACGGTTATCAGGCTAGCTTAAAAGCAAGCAAATAAAATATTTATCTATGTAATGGTAGTGATGTTAGAGTACTTTCGTGCGCATAAACGAGAAGATTTAAAGAGAAGATGCAAAAAGAACAGTAAAATAGAGAAAAATCATCCCACATGGCCAAGGTCATATAAAGTCGGATGAGAAGAAAAATGAGAGGATGTAAAGTTTTTCTATCTAAAAGGTATAAGACGCCGTTTGAAGCGTACACTGATATACCTTTTCATTTATTTGGCGGTCTCGATCCTTACATAAGGAATGGATTGTGTAAAAATAGCGGAAATGCAATCACGATGTATTTGCATTTATCGAAATCCTCAAAATTCACGGATAATGTACGGTAAAACTCTAGAACAGTCGAGTTGTATTAGGATTCCGAAAAAAAAGCGTTTCCTCACTGACAACATTAACAATAATTAGTTTACACATGCCCATCCGCACTAAATTAACTTGTTAAATGAAAAAAATTGTTCTATATATATATATGTGTATGTATATATATACATGCATATGTTCCCCCTCTTTCCCTTAAGAACTAACCATGGCATCACTGTTCTTACTCATAAAAGGCATAAGGGGAAAATTAAAACTACAGGATCACAATATTGTTACAGGAACATCCAACCGAATCCTTGATTATAGACAAACTACAAAGAGGGGTGTACTATATTGCTCTATTTCTTAATGAGTTTGCGCAACAATTTTAATTGCATTGTCGTCAGTGACTTCATGTATGACAGCATGGCAGTGGGCCCCTGTCCCTTTAGAGATTTTCCATTAATGCTCACAAGAAACCAATCTGATGGCGGTGTTGTGAATCGTTTAATAAAAGGATGATGCGCATCCGAAGGTTTTGATACGTCCGGCAGCGCAAGAAGACGCATTGGTAGCGCCGTGATTGAATTCGAGTGTTCATCTAATACTATTTTAATCCCCCACGCGTTCTCCACAGACGGCCGCCGAAGGACCATCTCCCCATTTATGAAGGATATCATCTCAACGCCGTGATCAAACCGACACGGCGGCGTTGTGGAAGTGTCTTCGATCGCCACCTTTCCGCTTACTTCCTCCATCTTAGATGTGGGTACATCGCGGACGCCTGGGGTGTTGCCGTTATTGATGATGTTTGTATCGATGTCAAATGGAGCTCGCGTAGGTCTTTGCCGTATGTTTTCCAAGGTAGACTCAACAACTTTCTTTTCTGCTCGCCTACCCTCATTGCTGCCGTCAACAGCGACTTGGGCAGTGTTGGCAATGTCCTTGGGTGATATATTACGGGCACCGGCCTTACCACCTTTGTTACCTTTGGCCTTTTCAACTAGTTGTGCTTTGTCCTGGTGAGAGACCCCCTGGAGTAGTGGCACGTCCATGGGCGCCGTGTCCGTCCCCTCCGTCTGCGGGGCTTCCTTGGGCCTCCGCGATGAGGGTTTTGGCTTGAGGGCCTCTAAGAGCGCGCGGGGCTCGGGAAGGTCCTCGGGGTGGCTTCGCCGGCCTTTTAGGCCAGCGGCCTCCTTTGGCGGGGGGGAATCGGGCGGGGTCACGACCAGCTCCAGCAGCACCGTCTCCTGAGTCGTGAGCGACGCGACCTGCGCCACGGAGCGGACCTCAACCCCGTTCACCGACCGCAGCCTCAGCCGTCGAGGGTACTGCCGAACAAAGGCCTTTGCCGCTTCGGGGAGGAGGCTCAGCGGTGGTGGATGCCAGCGAAGGTCCTCGTTGATGTGAAAATTCCACGCCGCGCTGGGGCTGATGCGGTGAAAGAGAAGCACGGCGCGCTGGCCGGAGGCCCCTTCCCCACCTGGATCGTGGGAGCGGAAAAGCACCTCCACCGGCGCGCGGCGCAGACTTTTCGCGCGCACCACCAGACGCAGCGTCCGGCGGCTTGTCGAGGCATCGCGCAGGGCCTGCAGGACCCGCCGAGGGTATTCCCCTGCGGCGGCGGGAATGGCGACGCCGTTCACCGCCACCACCACCGCATCATCCCGCGTGGACTTAAGCAGCTCGTGGAACCGGCGCGCGCGGTCGTGGACTCGCATCGCGACATCCACGTCAATGAGGCGCCCCTTCTCGTTGAGGAGAAGCCCCCACGCCGCGTCGAGTGAAGATCGGCGCAGGTCCACCTCGACGGCGCCCTTCTTTTCATCCCATACCAATCGCGTGATGTGTGTGAGCGCGAGTGGCGGGACGTCAGATAGGCTCCCCGTGTGAAGTACCCAGTCGCCGAGTTGGTAATAGTACCGCATCAACGAAGGCAGCACTACCGCGGCCTCCCGCTCGCTCGACAGCGCCAGCTGACCAGCGGGTAGAATTAAAAGAATGTTATCGTAAATCGAAATAAAGTCCTCCAAAAGCGTCTCCGTCACGACAAGCGCAGCTAGGTGCTGCTCGGTCGTTGGGATGCTGGGGGTGGCGGTGGTGGCTGCCGTCTGCCGCTCCTCCGTGATTCGCTTCTGCAGCTGCAAAGTCACCAACTCAACTCGGAGCTTCGTACTGGCGTAGGTGAGGTGGTGCAGCCCCTCCACCATCGCCTCAACGCGGACCGCGCGCGAGGAGATGACCGTGCAGAAGGCGTCCGCGGTGATCTCCTGTGGGGGGTTGGACGACATCGCCATGATCAACGCCTCCCGCACGACCTCCATCAGCGCCGTCAGAATCACGCGCGGTGTGCGCTCTGCCCCCATCTTAGGATCGGAAAGCGCGCTCAGACGGCCTACAAGAATGGCAATGCGGCGCGCGACGACAACGGAGTAGTCTGTCTCCGTGGTGGACGGGTGCGCGTTAAAAAATAACGGGGGGCCCTCTTTGCGGTAAATCAACTCGGCGGGTTCACGACACCCGCGGAGGAGGGCAAGGGAGTGGGCTAAACGCGCCGCGTTGGATACATCCGAATCGCCAGCGCTGCCTTCACTTGAAAGGGATATAGTTGCCATGATAGTACCAATACAATAAGCTTTTCTATTTTCCCTTTGATAGCCGTTGTACGCACTCTTCCACTTAGCTAACTATATGTATTAATAAGTAATTGTATAGATTGTCTATTAAGTCTATGATCAATATAATACTATAGTTTCGATAATATTCCTAGTAACAATAGTAGTAATGGTGGTAAGACCAGAATAAAAAATAAATGAGTGAAAAGGATAAAACATTCAAAAAAAACATTGAACTGTGCCTTGAAAATGACCATTCAGTAGAATTGTGAAAGGCCTCAAGAGTAATTTAATATCATCTAATCTTTTTCCAATAGAAAAATATACACATACGTATAGAGGATGATAGAGATAAAAAAAACGATGGATAACCCAGTTCTATGCAGGTTCTATCAGTGAAATAATATATGAATATGAGTTATTTCAATTGTGAAAGTCATTATATATTCTCCTCTTTGCCTTTTTGATAAAATTTGAAATTTAACTAATCAATATTAGTAGAATTCAGCGTCTTGTGCTGACATAGGAAATACAATTACAGATTATTGTCATAAAAGTAGTAGCAAATTAGGTAAAACTTTACAGGAAAAAATATATAAACGACTCTATCGATGTATGTAAATTGATTAATATATGACTATTGAATGTATTTGCACAGACAACATATACGGAGAGTGATAAAATGAATTTCTGCAACTCATCCGAGACTATGCATCAAACGCACAGAAAAAAAATACTCTATAACTCCACCTTAAATGATCCGCTACTATCAGTCCCTTCCTCATCAACAGTGAAAACAGGGTCCTTGGTGTCGCGCCACTCAGTTGAGGGTGCACTTACAGAAGCATCTAACGCCTCCTCGTTGTCATTCCCCGCTGCGGAGGACGCTCGGCGGGTCTTCGCCGTCTTTGAGTTATTCTTAGTCTTTTTGCGCATCTTATCATGGGACTTTTTCTTATCGCGACCCTTTCCCTTACAAAATTTAGAGTCTGGCTTTCCAAACGGAGCCTTGGCCTCCTCCGGAGGTTGGTCAGTTGCATTCTTCTTGCCACGTCGTTTTTCTTTCAGATTCGGCTCTGCACTCGCAGCCTCAGAAGGCAAACCAAGTGTAGAAAACCTTTGGATAAGCTGAGTGATGGCTGCGGTTCTGTCTTCGATCTTAGAGTCAATGTAAGTGTCGTGGGAATCTACAGTGTCTTTTGGAGTTATTACGGCGGGCATGTTACTTTCCTCTTTCACCTCCCCTTTCTTCCCTACTCTCTGAAGTTGTGAACGCTTTTTACTTTGGTCTTTGAACGGTTTAGTGGCAGGGCGTTCATCATCCACATCCGCACTCACATCAGTTTTAGAACTGGAGTTGGACAACATCTCTGCCATAATCTTAGCGATGCTTGCGTCGATGTTGTCAGGGGTCATTGTGTTCGCCTCTGTCACTTCTTTGGCGACCTCAGTCGGCACCGCTTGGTGCGACATTCGCGACTTCAACTTGGTTTTAGCCCTCAGTACCCTCTTCCGGTCCGTTTTCAAAGACCCAGCCTTCGACGGCTGTTCCGACATCGCTTTCACACCCTCCTTACTGTGCTCGGACCCCTCATCCAGAGATTTTTGTTTGCGCTCTTTCAGAAACGAAAGCATTCCCTCCACGCGGAGCTCAACTGAGTGGTCCTTTCCCTCCATCAGTGCGCGCATCATCCTATCGGAGTCGGCCGCCGTGTGGCCGTTCACCGCGCTCAGGTAGGCCACCCCCCCGCGTGAAGAGGAAAAAAGTGCCTCCACTGCGCGTGAGGCGACGGTTAAAAAACGCGGAATCCCAATTAAACGATACCGAGCAGGCGCCGCAGACTCCACAGCCGTCGAAAGTGAAGAAGGAGAAGAAGGTGGTAGTTGTGAAAGAAGAGGATCGGAGTTGGCCGTGGTGTGCGCGTCGTCTGCTTTGAGTTTAAAGCCGTAGGACTGAGTCGAGCTGGTGCGAGAAAGATGCAGGTTGAGCGATACCGTACCCACAGCCGGGGCCTCCACCAAGGTGAGGGATTCTAGTCTCAGCACCCGTCCAACACGACTTCGAGAAAACATCAGAAAAGACGTGTATCAAAGGAATTTGAAGACACGTTATAACGGAGTTGAGAGATACGTTGTAACGGAAATAGAAGAAGACACAATATGTACTTGGGAAAGGGAGTTAATGAGGATTAGAATCAGAGGAGAGGGGGGAGGGGAGAGCTGATACGCAAAGAGAATCCCACGAACCCCCACACACACCTAATTCCAAAGGATGAGAAACTAATATACCTCTAATATTTAGTGAGAACACTCAAATCACGCTTGAATTCACTATTACCCTTTGTAAATCTTAAAAGATCTGAGAATGCGTATAGTATCAGTAGGGAAATGTGATATGAAGAGAAAGTCAGGAGTATTAGTACTCAAGTTGAATAATTCCACATCAAAAAAAAATGTCACACTAAATTAAGTGAAGAACATTTATCCCCTTCTGTTCATATGATGTGGGGATTGGGAAAAAAAGATCTATTTCAGCCTATTCTAATATATTAACACCAGAGGAATAATAGCTAAGAGGGAAGGAATAAACTCGATCAATAATGCTAATACAAACTCTGATATTAAGGATAGATCCATACTACAATATTTATTAGTTAACTCTATAAAAATGAAATCCCTGAAACGTTGTAGCTCAAAGGTATTACATACAATATTCTATTTTATTAATGCACGGAAAAGAGAGGCAATCGATTAATGAAAAGCGCTATATTGCACACCTTTTCTCTCTATTTATTGCCTCTCCTATAGATGAAGTTAGACAAACGTCGTAAAAAAACTGAAGCACAAAAACTAACGTAATACTTTCAGAACCATGGACAACTTCGTACACTTCTTCACCGTTTCCATCAGTTTCGCCTTTTCTAGCTTGCTAGCCATCAGTAAGTCCACCCCATTCATCGATTCGACCGCACACCGTACGTTGCCGTCAGGCATCACGCCAAGGTACTTTAGATAGGGATGATCTTGCTTTTCGTCCGCCACTTGTGGTAACTTTGAGAGCAAAACCTCGCCGCCAACAAATGCGATTTTGATATTCCACGGCACCTCAGTGGATGGTCGCAAGAGCTCCAACGCGGTACCGTCAAATTTGTTTGCGATCACTTTGTTGTCAAACTTTAGTGGAGGCGTCTCAAGCAGCTGCGTGAGGGATACAGGGACATTTCCTGCTATAGGCTTCTCGGAAGAGGAGGAGAAAGTATTCGAAATGGAGGTCGTGCTGCTTACACCCCCCACAACCTCCATAGCAATCTCCGCGGTTGTTTTCAACGAATCCACCAAAGGTACATCCTTATCAGAAACCGCCGTTTTGGACGCACTTCGATTCAACGGCGCAGAGAGAAGATCCTCGTATGATTTATTTTCAACCTGTTTCGATGAATCGCTGCCGTCGATACCGGCCTCATGGCCTAACTGCATGGCAATTTCTGCAGAAGTTAGTTGAGCCCCCATTAGTGGCACGTCGCCTGTCAGGTTTGAAATCATGGGATCCTCTACATTCGATGGTTCTACATTTTTATCTATTTCCTCGTGGTTGATGTCATCCTTGTCGATTGTGGTATTCTCCACATCATAATCCTCTGCCATCATTGTCTCCTCATTACCAGCTCTTTTTTTACGTTCTTTTGTGGATATTTTTTTTATTTTTGAAATGCTACTCGATTTTACGTCTTTTGGATTTGATACTTTATCCTCATTTGTATCCGACATCGTGACTGGATCTCCCTCCTCCAGCCTCGCCTCCCTTGTTTCCGAACCCTCCAACTCAGCAAAGTTACCTTCTTCTGGTAAATCCTCCTTAGAAACCTCCTTAAACTCATCCAAATCCTCATTAGTAGAAAAGGGCTCTGGTTCTTCTTCAAAACTATCGTAGTCCTCAAGTTTCGCAGCGCGCTCATGAGAACTATCTAAGGTGCCCTCCAAGGCGTTGTCTTCCCACTCAGAGAGCGAATTGTCCGGGGTCGTCAAATCACCATCCTCAGCGCTAATAGCAACCTCGCCTTTTGCGCTTTTGCTGTTTTTGTCAAGGCTATTATCGTGATCTTTACCAACGCCAGACGATTTCTCTGTATGCTCAAGGCTTGGTTGAATCTTGTTTTCATTTTCATTCGCCTTTGGGGAAACTTTAGAATGGACTTTTTTAATACCAAGGGGGTCCGCCGCGTTGTTTGTGAGCTCTTTTGCATGAGGTTCATCACCAAAAAAAGAAGCTTCCTCGATCCCGTCGCTTGGGGGATCCGCCACCTGAAGCCACAGCGCGAGAAGAAGTGATTCCGACATAAATTGCTTTAGCTGTTCCGTCGTAAAGCGCTGCTGAATACCGCGGTAGTTAACGCTCACCACTCGCAACCGTCCACGGTGATCAAAGAGGAAATTTTTTGCTTTTTTTGAGAGCTGCAATTTATCCGAGAAATTTGTGAGCAGCGGCTGAGTGTTTGGCAAAGCGGCGAGCTTAAGACCCCACGGGATCGTCGGTGTGGCGCGCTCCAGGATGAGCAGCACCTGCTGCCCTACGCCCCGCTCCCCACCCTGCTGTCTGGCTTCAAAGAAAACCTCCCGGGCGGCCGTCAGCTCCGCGTGAGTTTTCTTTTCCACCACCAACTGCAGTGCTCGGCCCTCCCCACGTAGGCAATCCGTAAGCCGAGTCAGGATCTCCTGTCGTTTCGACTCCAACTCCACCGCGGTGAGGTTGACGGCGCGAATACGACGGCGATTGACCTGAAAAACCGCCATCCCCGCGGCGGCCTTGCTCTGCTGCAAGGCGTAGTAAAGCCGCTCTCCGGCCTCGCTGCCATTGCGCAGGGCGTTTTCGATCCCCACCAACACCCCGGCGCCGTCGAAGATGAGCCCCCACAGCCGCGAACGGGTGCCGCGCTCGAGCACGACGCGGCCGGCATGGGGGTCGTACTCCACGACCACCACATCCTCCCTCCCCAGCCCGTGCGAGGCCTCCAGCAGCGCCCGGCGCTCCCCCTCCACCGCGAGCCCCCACCGC